ATTTTCCTATGTAGTCTTGGATTTTGTGTGATCTGTGTCTAAATGCTAGAAAACGTATCGTCCATTTTCAAAATACTACATTTCTAGTCATTATATATGGATAACATAAAAATACTGTATATCATGGTTTCAGACTTTGTATTTTCCAGACCAAAATGTGTTTATTTTAAGTGGTTTTAATTATGTCACTTATGACTTGTTCCTGTAGTTTGTATATCAGTAGATTTTGTTTTGTTTACACAAGAAGGGAATCTACGGATGTTTTGGCTTAACAGCACTGCTAATTATCATTCTGAAGTCACTGTATATTTGGTGACAAGACAAAGGCATAATTATGAATAAACTGTCAAGACCTGACCTTTCCATATTTTATCGAATCACCTATCCTGCAATCAAAAGGAGTCCTGATTATATATATATAAAGTGGGCACTTTTAGGCTCTCTTTCATTTTGTTGAGAGAACGCTAAGTGCACATTTAATTATCCAGTTTGTATCATCAGAGTCTCTTTTTCCTACTTTTAACTTAATTCAACACCAAAATGACTCGGCTTGGAGACACACATGGCTCATGACGGGTTATTTAACCCACTTGGGGTTCTTGTGCTGTGGAAACCTGGCAAGGAGGAGTTTTGCAAGGGTTAAACTCCCCTCAGCTAACCCTAAAGCAGACCAATGGGTGCATTTAGGATTGTTTAACACTTGCATAATCCATGCACACTTTGTTCACATGACCAACAACCCGAGTGAAGGTTGTATATTAAAAATGGCGGCCACACAGCTACTGTACACTCTGCAGCCTCACTGTGGGTACCATAACGGACGGTGGGCTTTCATCTCATGACAGTTCCATTCACTCCCACAAACCAACCAAAATGGGATCTATGCAATAATAAACATCTCTTTAAATATATTGGTATTCATCTGAAAATGTCCGCAAGATGTTGGCTTCCATCTAACCTGACCAATCTCTAACCTCAAATAATGCCAGTACTGGGACATGGAGGCTCTCTACAATCTCACCAGCATGTCAGAAGAACTGCCTTTGATTAATAAAATAATTAATTTAACAAAATTTTAATTAATTTATGACCTAGGGTAATTATCCTGTAGAAATCAGCATTACTTACATCTTTCAAAATCAACTAACACAGAAGTGTTCTACTGTTAACTGAGGAACAGCGGAGAATCCCATTTGACTAACAAATACTATTAACCAGTAAAGGCATTTTAAAACATTTTATCTTTGAATTTTATATTAGTGCAATAAAGCAGAATGCACAAAGCATAAAATAAATAAATATATTTTTAATTTGCCAGCCCATGGATCAATTTAACTCAGGTTTGGAATCTGGTTCAGTTGACTGCTAGGCTTGTAGACCCTACACTGTAGCGTCCATACAAAGTGGCAAAATGGATCACATCCTGACCTACTTCTAGTCCCAGCAGACATCTCTGTGTTGGATGTGGTGCTTGCCTGGGACATATTCGTTTGAAATCCTATAGCCCCCAGATCATGCACTCATTCTACAGTTTGGCCAACTTTATATATAAGAGCCAAGAAGTACAACAGGTAAAATTCCATTTTCTCACAATGCATAACCACCTCACATTTACAGTACATCACATCTTGCCCGTTGTTGGTCCTCATACCATTTAAAGCTTGCTAAGCTACAGTTAAGCTTTATTCTTCATCAGATTTTGTTGGCAGCTGACCTTTGGCAGTTTGCTCTGGAATGATTAAGAAAATAAAAACATAAGAAAAGCCATGCTGGATGAGACCAAGGGTCAATCTAGTCTAGCACTCTGTGCACACAGTGGCAAACCAGCGGCCCACAGACCCCTCAAGCAGGAGGGGTACAAGAGCTTCTCCTGCCCAAGCTCCTCAGCAACTGGTGTATGCAGGCAGGCCAGCTCTGGTGAAGGGTATCAGCTGGAAGCCGCTGATTGCCTCCTCCTCCATGAATCTTCTCCAGTTTGGTGGCCATCACCACTTCCCGTGGCAGTAAATTGCACAGTTTAACTATATGCTGTGTCATAAGCCTCCACCAGTCTGTCTCATGGGATGACCCTGGCTTCAAATGTCATGGGAGAGGGAGAAAAAAGTCTCCCTCTCTTCTTTCTCCTTCTAACATTGTAGTGTCTAAAGAGGTAAAGATGTTAACACATGTACTTTTAGATGCCCTAACATTAGAAGCAGCTATAGTAACATCCACAGGTATCACCATTGATTACAACCATCACACACCAAGGACTGCTGTTCAGCAACCTCCAACTGTTCGAATTAATGGCCATGGCTGTATTGCAGAACAAGGTAAATTGCATGAATCCTGCTATTTAAAAGATAGCACTCCATATCACTTTTCTATAAGGTGAATTTCTCCCACTTGCTACTCCGCCAGGGTGATAAAACTGGGGCCCAGATCAATAAATATAAAATAATACATTTCAATTCTTCAGTAGAAGACATCCTTGTCAACTCATTAATAACTACGGTGACATCACATTTTGTCAGCTTCGCTTTCTTTCCAGCTGCACAAGGTCACCTTTGAAATGTATCTTCACCCCCAGACATTAGACTGGATTGTGTGAGGGAGTCCAGATAGCGTTAATGTGTTTGGACATTAAAGAGATAAAGCACGGTTCAAACGTTCAACTATCACAAGCTCCCTTTTCCTACTAAGGCTATCACAACGCACTGAAGATAACTTATACAGGCATCATGAGCCTTTGAAGCCTGAAGATTTGTGTAGGCTGGCCACACACAGGAAATCAATGATAATTCTAATAAAATAACTAGGTTATTTTTCCCTAGGACAACTCTTCCATAGGTTGCTTGCACATACTCCCTATTCTAAATTCAACATACCTACTTGGGGCACAAGCTATAGTCATATTTAAAAGAAGTTAGGTGTCAGTCTTACGAGCTTTTGGCAAAATACTCATTAGTTGTACTCAAGAGGAAGTGTTTGGTGAAATCTTCACAAGCTATGAATATAACAGCTCATTTAATTAGACTTCAATTTGTAGAGATGCTTCTTTTCGGTCCTGGGAGTAAGAATGTGAATTGGTCGCATTGAATGTGTGTATGTATGGCTCAAAGGTAAATCATGCATGTAAAATTCAGTGCTGGTCTATTGTTTCTTTACAATCTGCAGTGCCCAGCCAAATTGCTATTTTGACTGAATGGCTTATTTTCCTTTGGTACCTGCACAACAATATGAAGAAATGTCACTAGCCCTTGAAATCTATGTTCCTGAATAGATTTTAACCTATGTATTAAAAAAATCTGGTATTACTTTCATCTGTGAAGAAGAGCCATCAAGGCAGTTAACAACAATAAAATATCAATGAGATATAAGAGCATTCAATTCAAAATAAAAAAGGGAGAAACAGTAGCTACATGAAATTAAAATATGAACAGGCAGCTGGAACACAAAAGGTCTTAAACCCTACCTAGAGGGACAACAGAAAAAAGAACATTTTTTTGCCCCCCCTTAAAGGACCCCGTTTTGCCTTGATCCAGATTGTGACTACAGTACACTGGGAAGATCACTCTTTCCCCAGATGCGAATCCTGCTCCAAAGCTGCTCCTTATGGGAAGGGAGGGCATTTTCACTACAGCATCATCCTATTCTGGAAGTGGAGCCCGTATGTCCAGATCGTCACTGCTAGGTGCAACACCCTTCTTTCTCCTCCTGCTGCTCCAGCTTGTTGCACAATGTAATTTGATGGCCAAAGATGAGTGGCTTTTCTACATCGAAACTGTGATAGAACAGATGGCGTTCCATTGCTTCAGGGAAAGGAGAGAAATGTGCAAACTTCACATTCTTCAATTCTATAAAGGTGAAAGTGCATAAATGCCTTCTAAGTACACGCACGTGCACAGAGAGAGTGAGAGAGCACTATTTGCAGACAGCTTCCTTTATACATTATTAGACCTTTAACCAATTTTTAAAATTATCCTACTTGGTCATCCCCCACAACTCTTCATTTGCATCTTTAAACAGTGTTTCCAGCACAAACTGTTCTATTTAATATTTTCTACCCTCACTAAAAAATGACTGCATTTTACTTCATCCATGCATAAAATAGCAAATATATATTGGCCTTTGCCAATAGAAAATCCATAACAGCTGTTTATTGCTCATTTGCAAAACATAAGACCAAAGGAATTCCATGTCTTGAAGAAACTGGCTGTTCCATGCTATCTTTGGCAACAAAAGCAGCACTTATCTTTTTTGTTATTTAACAATAGTTCCACTAACTTCCCCACTTTTACAACAAGTAAAGAAAATGAAAGAATTCTAACTCAAAGATAACCAACAATGGAACGTGATTTGCAATTAACTGCTTTCCGGTTCCATAAATCAAAGTTGCTCCTTAACAGTAATTTTTTAAAAAAACACTTTAAATCTCATCTTAACTCGACAACAGGAACTACTTTTTTCAAACAGTCAAAATGTTAGGAAAATGGGAAGAACTCCAGACTAAAAAAGAGTGTGCAGCAACTCAACAAGAAATTTCTCAGGAGGTTCAGCACAATGTGCTTTAAGGTTCGCTTAACAGGGGCTTCTGTCCTTTATCATCTGTTCAAAACATTTTGGTCCTCTTGAAAAAATGCCTTAGAAACAGAACTAAATAAAGTCGCACTTCTCACAACAGATACTTGCCTTCACATATGGTTTTAACTAAATAACTTGCACGTCTCCAGCAGCTTCAGAAAGAAATAACTGCAGCATACCAAGTGGATGCTAGCTCCTCAAAATGCCAAGACAAGCGCATACCTCCCATAATCTGGTTTCTATATTTAGATAACAACTATACCTAAAGCCAGGAAGGTCAGCATTGATGCAAGTCAAGCATATTTTCACTGCCCTGTCTTCTCGCCCTGCTGCCCCGTCGCAATTCTCCCAACCTGGAGGTGCGTTTTCAGAACCTACACAAAAGAATAGAAAGGAAGCTTTGTGCAGTAAGCAAAGAGTAGACCAAGTATTCTTACTTCGATAATCCGGTCATGAATCTGCAGACCTCCTTCTTTGGCAGCAGGCCCGCTGTCGGCTATTTTAGACACAAAAATTCCTTCACTAGATGGGCCATCTTGATTGTCCTTTAAGCAGAGAAAAGAAAAAGAATGTAAACAATGGACAGGACTGAAGCAGGTTGAAGTCCTGGCATTTCTCCCAATTTAAACATTGAGTGCCATATGGATGTTTAAGTGCAGCGCTGTCGGGAGCCATATGCACCTTCTACGGGTAAATGTAAAATGCAGCCACAAACTGGCTGGTGTTTATTTTCACAGCAAGCATTCCAGCTGAAGAGTGAAGGAAGAAGTATGAGAGATCACCTGCACTTCTGTCGCCCACACTTCTGGTCTTCCCTCGAAGGTGAAACGAAAGAGATATGGCCACCTTCTCCCACATGAAGCTGCTCACTAACAACCTCACTGGAAGCACATCTCCTGGAGCTCTTTGCATGTCAAGGGGCTGTGGGAGAAGGGCCTTTCCAGAGGTGGCACCCAAATTATGAAATTCACCACTTAATCATGGTCAGCTACGGATGCAAGACTTCCATGATGGTGGACAGAAGCCACTCCTAAACCCCACAGGTTGTTAAAACGGTTACTGTGCCCAAGATGGGTCCTCATATTGTCCAAACCCAGGCAACTGCCTCCACTGTGCGTATGGGGAAGCTACTGACCTGCTTGGCAAAAGCAACCAAAAACTTTTGCCACTCTTGCCAAGTGGTTCCAAAGCAACCATCAGCTCCAGCTGCCTCCAGAAGTGCCAAACAGTGCTTGGGAGCGGCTGGCACTCACCTCCCTCCCTCAGTGCCATGACTGCAAAGCTTTTGGGTCTTCCTAAGGCTTTTCCTTCTGCATGTTTTGCCTTCAGATGGCAGAAGCCTGCCATCATGCCAGCTTTTGTGGTCCCTGTGTCAACACTAACAGACAGTCCCTATGGAGTGCCCCAGAGGCACTTTGGAAGGGCTGCCCACATCCAGGCGTTTTATTATCATTTTGTGCGTCCTCCTCCATTTTTGCAAATATTTGTGATTTTTAATTTTTATTGTGCAACCTAAAGTGGTTCACAGTTGCAAGGCACAAGAATGGGCAGCCTAAGGCGGGCAAGGTGCACTGCGTCAGGTGCCGGTGCTGGCCACTGTGGCACAGGGGAACAAGGTAAGGCGAGCTGTCACATCTGGTCTTACCTTGTAAAAGGCCGGTATATGTGATCTTACCTTATAAAAAGGGAGTGCTACTTCATTCACCTGGCAAGCACCTTCAGATTTTTTTGGGGGGGAGGGAGTACACATGTCCTAAAACTGTCCTCCCTTCTGTACTTCTTCCTGAAATTCCTTCACCCTGGCAATTGTTAGGAAAATTTGGATAAATCCTGTCTGAAAAGCATTACTTCTGTGTGCCTTTGCATTGTCGGATCAAATCCTGTCTTCCTTCTCAAAACCAAGCTGTCACTGTTTAAAATGGCATTCCCCCCCACCCCCACCCCCCCGCTCCTTTCTCTCACCTTTAGCTGTAAGCTACAGTAGACAGGCCATTTAGTCCAAATATACATTGTAAATAGTCATTGTTGGAATTCAGTTTACAAGGAAGTATCTTTTGATAGCCCAGAGGCTCCATGTGCCCTGGCCAATTCAGAATGTCTGGAGTCTAGACAAGAGTCTTTGAGTTCATGCATAGTTTCTCAGTAGCTTGAATTTACATGTCTAAGCAGACCTGGAGATGGGTTCAAGCTACTGAACTAAAGTGTCAATACAGGCAATTAGAAATATTGTAATCTCATTGTTACTGTGTGATTGACTGACATTTATCTGTTCTGTATGTGATGACCTCAGAATCTTATTGTAATCTCTGCATTCTGTCATCAATTGCCCTGTACCTGTGTATCTATAAATGCCCTGTAACGGTACTGAAGCTTTGCAGCAGAGTTTACCTCTGCCTGCCCAGTAATGCATTACCCAGGTTCCCATGAGTGTACCGCGGGAAGCTGAGTAAAACAATAAAGCTTCAGATGGTCTGGACGCTTGGTCTTTCCCACGAACCTGAGTTTTATTCCTTCTTCTCAAATTGAGATTCCGGGATTCTGACACAATGTGTTGGGTTACGCAAGGCTTCTTAATGCTCACATGACCCTGCCATCCAGGTGTGTGGGCTTCCCTAGGCATAGACCCAAAGAACAGGAAGTGTAGCTTCTTGCAAAGTCCCCAGTATCATCACTGGAGCCAGGCACCCATTGCTCGAGTTCCACCAGCAGAAATTCATGAGTAGACAACCGTGTGCAACTGTGTCATGACCCTGTGCCTTAGCCCGATCCTGGTCAGCAGGGGCAGCAGTAAAAGTAAGGGAGTCCAGAGAACAGAGTGAGACCTGAAGGGCTTCTTTTAAGGAACAGGAACAGGCTTTTGCATGGATTCCAGCTGTCCGTCACAGATCCACATGTAGGCTGAACCCTCCAGGATTGCTTTCTAGCATTATGGTATTGGAAGGATGGGAAAGAAAATCTTGGTCAGTGCAAAGGAGTGCCACTCCCTTCTGCAAAGGGACGGGGAAAGCGATTGTCAGTGCAGCATCTCCTCTGCTAGGCTTGCCTATGTGTCTGGTATGGGTCAACATGGCCCCCACTTCAAATGGACATTGTTTACTTTAGTGATGTCATACTGTATACACAAATTTGGCTGCACACATCATAATATCATTGACACTACTTTAACTGGGAGACTGCTGTTGCTATCAAGGGTGAAATAGTCCATCTGCTCTGCCCCAATCCCCTTCAGGGAGACCCTAGAAGCAAGGCTGGAACTGCATCTTTGAACCACAGTGCCTGAGGTGAGCCACTCCATCTTTTCCGTCCCATTCCGCTGTCTGAGAAATTTTATAAGGGGTTGTTTTGTTGCCCATCTAGCTGGAGTGTTTTGGAGAAGGAGGCTAGAAAGGCATTGGGGTCGATTATATCCTGGCCTTTCCAGTTTCCTCCCCCCACCCCCTGATATGAACCCATTTTGTCACTTTCCAAGGTTGTTTCACAACCTCAGAGAGTAGCCAGTGAGTCCTCTCCATGCTGGCTACAAGGGGAAAGGGGTTTGGCACTCAGCTCCAAGCTGTTTTCCAGGATAAAGAAGGAGCTTTTAAAGCTTCTGCATACCTGCAGTTGTAATTCTTTAGGCAAAAGAGCAAAATCTGAGAAAATCTGACTCAGCACCCGAGCATTACCAGCAGGCTGACTGCAAGTACAGCATGCTTGGTTTTAAGCCATTTTTAATGCAAAGGGAAGGATGGTCATTCATCCTGCTTTGAAATCTTGGGTGAGCAGTGGGGGGTTACACAATTGCTGCTCATGAGGTCCGATGCATTTCCTAAAGGTTCTGAAGAGACCTTCTTTAGGCTGTAAAATGAGCAGTCCATTCTCTTAACATGTCAGTAGTTAAGTGCATAAAATAAAACAGCAGAATATATTTGTGGCTCAGGCTGCAAGCCTATGAAAGTCTATGTGAGAATAAATTCTATTGTTCCAAGTGGGACTTACTCTTGAGTAAACACACACAGGATTGCCAGGACATGACGATTCCCCAGTGCAATTGTATCTGAAAAAAGCAGTGATGCTGCTTTTGTTCACTGAGCAAGTCTCTTTAGGGACTTTTGAACAAGATCAGACAGATTCCTCAAAAGTGTCATTAAAATGCTGCTAATTACTGAAAATGGCTTAATCAAAACGCAGTGGCCAACCAGCTGGACAAATTCTTTAAATGAGGAGCAGCCTTTAAAGAGAAAATGAACCTCATTCTAAAAATAAATCAGATTTACTGGTTGATGAACTATATGAATAAAATCAGCAGCAGTAAAGGGTCTGCTGGTTTTGTTGAGACAGCATGACAACAGCCAGTAAATAAGGTGGTGGTTGTTCTGTTTTTAAAGCTAGAAGACCGCATACAATACAAGTAAATCCTTATGAAATCCACGGATCCCCAAAGTAAACACTATCTTATCTACAGTCTCACCAACAATCCACTGGCATCTATCTGGTCATACAGATGCCTAAAATTCTGTGGTCCAAAGCGTTTCTGTGCCTAAGAATATTTAAATAGTCAGTCTTAAGCAGGTACCTAAAGGCTGAAACAGTAGGAAAAGATTCTTGTTGCTGTAGGCCTCCCCTGAAGATTGAAGATCCCAATCTGGCCCTCCAAGTTTCCTCAGATGGTCACTCCCCCTTTGCCTAATGCTGCCTCCCTTCCTCATTGCTTGTGGTTTCTCGCGTGTTTCCATTCTTGAAGGCTGAAATGGCTCTGCTACCAGCTTAGTTACTGGTAATGAGAACTTTAAATGACGCCACACTGGTATTCTTTGTATTCTGGCCTTTGGCTTTGGCCCCAACCATGACTGGGAAACAGCCCTCAAGAGCTCCTCTGAGACAGACTGCGGCCCTCAACTGAAAGAGGCTCCCCTGCCCTGCCCAAGGAAGTTACCTTATCAGTGCTCTGGGAAGCGAATGCTTCCTATGACAGACCGAGCAAGCAGCAGTGATGTCTGCCTGCCCGCCCCAACCGCAAGCCTCCAGATGCTACCAGAACATCCTGTGAGAGGGGCAAATACACTGCAAGGCACGAGAAAGCATCACTTGTCCCATGACGTTAGCCCAAGTTTGTGCATGAACAGGATGTGCATGTGCATGTGCAGATCAAAATTTGCACGTGCCGTTCAACACTGTGTGTTTACTCGGAAGGAAGCCACAGCAAAGCTTAGTCCCTAGGAAGGATAATAGCCCTGATCGCTTTTATTCCTCCCCCTGAAAACATCTACCTAATCAAATGCTACCAAAGGGCATTAATATCTGAATGATTAACATACCATGCATGGCCGGCCACCAATTATATTAAATCCAAGAGAGCCAGAATCACGATGAAGAACAAGGGTCAGTGCTTTAGCCTCTTCACCCTATAAAAAGCAGAGAAGACCAGTTTAACTCTTTACCATCAGCCAGTTCATTAGCACAATTTTGCTAAATTAAAAGTGATTTAAAAGATTAATACTTGATGGACATTGCCAATAATTATTTTGCAGAACATACATATATTTTGCTCAGTGAAAATGATCTGCAGATCAAGTTTTCTTGAACGTTCAAGGTCAGATCAAAGAGAAAATCCCCTGAAGACAGTCTGAACACTTCAATTGGTGCAAAATAGAGCTGCCAGGTTGCTGACGGGGACGGGGCGTTATGCTCACATGACTCCAGTCCTCCGTCAGCTTCACTGGCTTCCCATTGAAGCCCGGGCCCAATTCAAGGAGTTGATTATGACCTACAAAGCCCTAAACGGCTTGGGTCCTGGCTACCTGAACGAGCGCTTACGTCCGTATATGCCCGACCGCCCTTTGAGATCTGCGGGAGAGTCCCTTCTCCGGGAACCCTCTATGAAAGAAATTAGGAGAATAAGTACCCGGAGGAGGGCTTTCTCTGCGGTGGCGCCCAACCTATGGAATTCACTCCCCAAAGAGTTCCGCCTGGCACCGTCGTTACTGGTTTTTCGGCGCCAGGTAAAGACCTTTTTATTTAAACATCATTTCAATTGTTAAAACATATGATCTGGCCTGGGCAACTTCTTCTTCCTTCTCTTTCTCATCCTATATTTTTATATTATACTGATAATTTTAATTTTGTATTTGTAAATCAATGTATTTTTTGTATTTTTATATTTAATGGTAATTTATTATGTACTATTGTATTTCAATGTATTTTATCATGTTGTAAGCCGCCCCGAGGTTTTGGCAAGGGGCGGCATAGAAATGTAATAATAATAATAATAATAATAATAATAATAATAATAATAATAATAATAATTTATCATCCTTTATCATCCTGACATTTTATACTTCTAAGCCAAGGCAAAATTCTATTGTTTGCACTGGGAGCTCCTGAGTCAAGATTTGCCTACAGCACCAGCAGTTATCTTCATGCATATTGCTACTAATCCTTATTGCAACAGAGCCCCTGCACCGCCCATCTCACCCCATTGAGGCAGCATGGCAACCCACGCCCAGTAAAGTAATTACGGAGCAGAGCACAACTGGCATGTAGCAGACAACAAAAATAAGCCACAGCGGCTTGTTTCTCTATACCAGTGGTGGGAACCCAGTCCCACTAATCCATGGGTGCTTCAAAGGCACAGCAGCTTAGTGTGCTGTCCAAGCACTGACCCCCAAACTCATGGGTGCTTTCTTGTGGCTACAAAGGCACCCTAAGAAGCCATAGCTTGTTGTACTATCTCATACCTACCCCTGGGCTTGTTTGCTTGCTTATTTATTAACCATATTTATACCCCGTCCTTTACGAGATGTCCCAGGACGGCTTACAACAATAAACTGCCCAAACCCAGATGACTCAACAGGACCAGGTGAAGCCCAAAACCTACAGAGTCACTCACAGCCACTCCGGGTTTGCCAAGACAGTGAGCGGCAGCGCCAGTCTCCGCCACATGCTGCCTCCCTCAGGCCCACATAAGCCTTGAGGAGCTGCAGGCAGCAGATACCAGCGCCCCCCTTCACTGCCCACGGCAGCCATCCTGCAGCTGCCACAGCGAGTGGCAAGCACGCATTCTGCTGGAGCTCCTCCAGGAAAGACCCAACGAGTGCACTCATCTCCCCCTGCCCACTGCCACGATCGCCCCACAACTGTGGAGGTGAAGAGGGCAACCACATTCTGCTGGGTTTCCTTCAGAAGTCCCTGCCGCTCCCTGAGGCAGGCGCTTCTGCACGTTCTCCTGCTCTCAACCAGCAGCAGGGAAGAAGCAACCCCACCTTCATCCACCACTGTCGCCAACCCACGGGATGCGGCTTCATCATACACGGGAGCCCACCGCTTCAACTTGCTCATGAGCTCCTCGCTCCAGTCTGCTCACGAATAAGCTGAATGGGTGGGGGCTCCCCCATTTCCCACCTCCCTGCCAAGCAGCAGCAGCAGCCTGGGGAGAAACCTCAGTGGTCCTCAGCATCCCCTGAGAAGGCTGAGGAGGGAGAAGTGGCTCCAGAGCCGCCCTGTGCCTCCCAAGTCCCAGGGCAAACAAGCCATGCTGTGTCGCTCCCAAAGGCTGCCCACTGTCTGCTTTCGCCCAGTCGGCCCATAAGGCCCTGCTGCTTGGAAGAGCTGGAGAGAGATCCCAGCTTGTCTGGCTGAGCTAAACACGACTGGCAGAATAGCTCCATTAGCGCTGGAACGCAACAAGGTCCTCCACAGACATTCACAATGCTAGGACCTCCCCTTCTTCTCTTTCTTACCCTCCATCTGCACCTACTTCCTGAAACAAGGCATTTTTTTTGTTCTTCCTTGTCTGCAATTTGCAATGAATCTTTGGGAAAGTAGAAGGGAAACTTTCAAGGTCCCAGAGAGCAGCTACTACAGGAAACAGCAAGGGTGACATCGCAAAGGACAGAAGGCAATGTTATATGCTTTTTGGCGCCAGGTACAAGACCTTTTTATTATTCCGTACTTTTAATGTTTAATATTTTAACTATGTTTTATGCTCAGTTTGTGGATTATTTTGTATTATTTATTGTATTTGACTTGTGAGTCATCCAGAGAACCACGGGGTATTGGACAGGATAAAAAAAATACCCAAATAAAATAAATAAGGCATAAAGCAAGGCAGGTAATCAGATGAAACATCCTCCAAGTTGAGAAAACATATACCTAATTATTTTCACATGGTTCTGTTTCATCAAGATGCTTAGAGATGTGCGTTGTGTGGGGCAGCGGAAGTCCACTATCTAATCTCACAGCACAGTATCTCCAGGATTAGTCACCATAACTCATAATGGCTTTCACACATAACCTTGATGTATGAAACGTCCATTTTGCCACCCTGCTATCGCTGAATGATGCTTGGCTGCGCGGGACTGCTCGGTAGCACAGCATCATTAGCAAAGTATCCATGCGGAAAAAGGTAACTCAGCGGTAAGGCACTTTCTGTGCACGCAGGTCTCATCAGCCTGTGCTCATCATGTCAGAAAAAGGCAACTTCTTGTCTTTCCTAAATATCAACCTGTTCCCCAAGTCTAGAAGCAAGCTGCACTTGAACTCAGGAGATCCGGTTTCTAGTCCCAACTTGGTTGACTTTGCGCCAGTCACTGACTCTCAGCCTAACCTACCTCACAAGGTTGTTGTTATGAGGGTACAATAGAGAGGGAAAGCATCTTGCAAGTCACCCGGGGTTCCATGTAAAAATAATGTGTTGGAATATAATCATTCGTGTATAGGAAACTTCTCAGCATTGCAATGATAAATAACTCCTTTGGATTCTACAGAAGATGTCTTTTGGGAAAAACCCAGGGGATATTTGGTTTGTTTCATTCTGTCAATGAGCGATGCATCCATGTCTTCCTACCAACACATCCAAGCCTGCTGGAGAATCTGTTCCCAAATATAGGAATGGCATTTGCTGGCAAAATCATCTTTCCCACTTCTCACAGGGAGAGGCCACTGCCCAGAAAGAGAAAGCATGCTTTGCATGTATGGGGATTCAAGTTGGAGCTCTTGCATCTCCACTTAATAGGATATCGGGTAGCAGAGCTGGGAACAACTTCTACTTGAGACCATGGAGAGCAGAGCGCAAGACGCACTCCACTCCAGGCTGGCATTACTCTGCTAGATGAGCCATTGATTCAATTCACTAAGTGGCGGCGTTTTATTTCCCAGGAGAAGCAGAGGATTTCTAGTACTTTTTAATCTCCTGCCAAGGATACTGGAGAACACAATTGATGGACAACTGTGTCCCTCCACTTCACTGCCAAAGGAAGAGCACTGACTTTGAGAATGGAATTATACTACCTAAGTGAAGCAGTGCAAAATTAGATCAAGCCCTGAACCCACAGAAAAGGGAATAGACACTGGTGTGGCTCAGTAACTTTGAGAATGTCTCTAATTTTGCAAACGTATGAAGCCTGCTTCCTTTAGAGCAGACTTCCTTGTGCTGGCTGGGAATGATGGGAGCTGTAGTCCAGCATACCTGGAGGGCCCCAGGGTGGGGAAGGATGCTTTAGATCGAGTAGAACAATTCCATAAACATCAGCTTCCATAGCATTCCTCACTCCTATTCTTCAGTACATTGTTACTTTTATTGCTCTGCATGCATTAATTTACCCTTCTTGTGGTTAAGGCGTCTTCCAGCTTTCCTTTTAATTGTAAAAATCTTAGCTGACGTTCAAGTGGTCCATGACTAATTTATCTCACCAAGGAACAAGAGGCATTCCTTTCCTGCTTTTCAGAGCCGCTAAGCATATGTATTACTTATGAGAGCCAGTGCAGTGTAGCAGTTGGGAATGCAGGGCTGGACTCAGTTGATCCCGGTTCTACTCTCTATTCAGCCATGGAGCCCACTGGGTGACTTTGGGCCAGACACAGACTCGCAGCAGCTCAGCTCATGGGGCTGTTGTGAGGAGAGAAGAACCTGTAAGCCACCATGGATTCATTGCAAGAGGAAGAAAGGCAAGAGAGAAATGCAGAGTGATGCTTACCTAGTCCTCATCTCCATTTTATTCTCATAACAACCCTGTGAAGTAGGTTGGGCTGAAAGTCTGTCGCTAGCCCGACGTCACCCAGGAAGCTTCATGGCTGAATGAGGACCAGCCCTACAGGAGCTTAGCAAGCTCCCATAGCAAGTATTTGTTGTCCAGTGCATTAATTTTATTACTTAGGCACGATCCCATGCATGTATAGACAGAAAAAAGATCCTACAACTCTCAAAATACTGGCTGGGGAATGCTGGGAGTTGTAGAACCCTTTTCTGTCTGAACTTGCGTAGCATTCACCTTTACTTAGGTTACATTTTTTCTAAACCACACTTTTCCTCCACAGAGGAACCCAATGTGGTATCCATAAAAGGCAAAAACCAGGTTCCGTACACAACTGTGGTCTCTGTGAAAACATCAGCACAAACGGAGATGCA